ACAGATAGGAGAGATTGATAGAAAAATAGATAGAAAAGAAAGAAGTGAGCTGTAAAAAAGGAGGCAAAACAAACAAACCTGAGGTTTTTTTTTAATCATTCTTTAGCTCTTTTTTAACATTCTTTCAATCTCACATATCTGTGATTTTATTTTATATTCATGCATAGGCTAAATGTGTGCTGTGTTCGTGTGTTTTATTGGCAGGATTTTAGCGTTCACTGTGGCCTGTGTCCGGCTGTGCTGCAATCTGTTTGCTCTCCCTCTTTCTCTCTCATTACAGAGAAACGGCACATTTGTCCTGACACACTCTTAATCTCATGCACTGACTGATGGCGACAATAATGGTGTGTGTTTCTGCGTTTCAACTCTTGTTTTTTGGGTTGCTCCCTTTGAGGTCCTTCTGCAAATTCTTAAAGAACAATCCTTTTATTTCACTGCCAGAACCAGAGTCAGGCAGGGTGGTCAAATGCCGGTGGCCGTCACTCACGTAATCACGTCATTGCTAGAAAGAGTTTTGCACAACTATAGAACTTTCAGAGCTGTATGCAGCAGCAGCAAGGGTAGAGAGCGCAGCTGCTGCTCTTGTAAACGTGAATGACTGACTTGATGACGGTTAAACTTTAGACAGCTTGCCGCCGTGGCTTGAGGTCTAATCATTGTTGATCATATTAGTTATAGAGAGCCTGAGTCCCTCCCACCATGGGACCTTACTTCGGAAAAAATATGTGCGGTAGTCAATGGCAAGGGACTACTTATTTTTTGATCCCGTTTGAATTGTGCTCTGAATTACACATACGATGACGGTCAGTTTCATTTAAAGTCAAGAAAGTCGCAGTTTGATGTGAAACTGTTGAGATATAAGACTGTGAAAATACATAATTTACAAATAGATTTCAAATACATAACTTTTTCTCTCAATGGCTGAAGCTAACGTGAACTTCCATATGTAGATGATGTGATGTGTTATCTAGCTAGCAGTATCCAAGCAATGAACTTTAGCTAGCATTACTGCGTTAACATGTTGGTGACGCTTATTGTGCGAGACGAGAGATGTAGTTCATTGATTCATTGGTTTTCACATAATACTCACACAAAACAGACTTATCTTTTAAATTGACAAACATCATTATGTGTACCCGCGACCCTGTACGCAGGATAAGCGGTTGACGATGGATGGATGGATCATTATGTGTAATTCAGGGCACAGTTCAAACAGGATCTAAAAATAAGTTGTCTCTAGCTATTGACTACTGTACATATTTTTTCCAAAATAAGGTAGCGGAAGTGACTGACTTGGCTCTATACTGTAATTGTGTCATGTTGCTCACAACTTCCTCTTTTAATCTATAACCCGCTCTTTTGACAACATTAGAATAGGTGGATGGCATGAGCCTGTAGCCTGTAGTGTGTTGTAGGATCAGATGGAGCCAATAACAGTTGTGCCCCCCTGCTGCACATTCAAACTACAGTGCAGAACACGGTCCATGTCAGCAGGCAGCAGGTGTAACTGTGACCATTCGCTGTCATGAAGTACCTTTACAGTAGAGTTTTAATTATTTTCCTTCCATTTAATGTTTGCCCTCATTGTCTTTTGTGCAAAAGAGTGACCAGAGCACCGAAGGCCTAAATTCAAAACCCTGTTGCAAAGAACCATTCTATATATAGTGTATGTTAAAATATGTAAATGTGATCAAATCTGATCTATCAATATGTTCTGTTTTATCTATTTTTGTGTTTTATTACAACTGGTTTCATCATGTATTAGTGTTGTAAAGCACACTGTAGCTTAGCCTTTGAAAAATTATTATTACGAACCCAATTCTTACCCAGGACACATAAAAATGTGTTTCTCGCTCCCTGTCTGGTCTGGCAGCGTGCCAAAAATGACCACAGAGTCTACAGTAACACTGCAGGCCTAGATAATGAACGCACTCGCATACAGTAACATACTGTCCAACCCGAGGCAGGCTGCGATGTCTTTAGCCCCAGTGTGTTGTGTATGTGTGACAGTGTGTTCATGTGTTTGAGTGTGCGTCTCCATTTTCACCTTTTTCCCTCTATGCAGCAATGCAATGGGATTACTTTGATTGACAGCTGTGACAGATGGTTGCCGCGCACACACATACAGTCACACTGTCATTGTGTTTGTTATATGGGGTCTCTATGGCAACAGTAATGTGCACTGTCTTACCTTGACACGAGTGGGATGTCATGATTTCCCAGCAGTGTTTCCTTCATTCAAGACTCAGTCTGAGTAACTCGTTATCCATGTTGGCTGAGAACATGTATTGATGTATTTGTATATTTCTAATATATTGATATATTTATTTCCGCATCTGCTATAGTAGAGCGTTGGTTTCTGAAATATTCGGTAAACTGCAGTTCCAACACAGCAAAAAAAATTGAAAAGATTTCTTTTTAGCAGTCTAAAAGAGAAAATAACCTACATTAATCCAAAGTTAAATAATGTAGGGATGGCTGTATGCTGTTAGTGGTGTCTGTGATGCATGAATGAGGCGGATCTCCATTTGGCCATGCTGGTGAGCTGTATGTTAGGCAGCAGTAAGGGCAGGGAAATCTACTTAAATGGAGTGCAGGCTGCACATTATGTGGCAGCTGATAATTAAACAGTAGCAGGCAGTGTGGCTAATTCTAGGACAACACTTCTTGTAGGTAAGAGAAACCAAGTAAAGTTAAGTTTCTTGACATTTTGGGAAATACAGTTATTTGCTTTCTGGCTAGAAAAGGAGATCATTATCATTCTCATATTGTTTTAGAGTTCAAGCCAGGAAAATGGAAATAGTAAAAGGATCTATCTCATTATAAAACTGTAAATGTTTGTATTAAATTCTGATTGCGTATGAATTAAACAACACGTTATAATGTGTTTGATCAGTGAGCTTTTTCAACTATGGTGAGAGCCAGGTTAGCTGTTTCCTCTGCTTCCAGACTTGATAGTAAGCTAAGCTAATTGCCCCTTGTAGTAATTTAATACTTAATGAACAAACAAAATGAGACAAATAAGAGTGCCAGGTGGTAATCATATGTCTAAATTTAAATTTAGCAATGCCAAACCATGTACAGTACCTCACAACAGTGAGTCCACCCCTCACATTTTTATATTTGATTATATCTTTTCATGTGACAACACTGAAGAAATGACACTTTGCTACAATGTAAAGTAGTGAGTGTACAGCTTGTATATTTTATAAGTTGTAAATTTGCTGCTCAAAATAACACATCACACAGCCATTAATGTCTAAACCGCTGTCAACAAAAGTGAATTTACCCCAAAGTGAAAATGTCCAAATTGGGCCCAATTAGCCATTTTTCCTCCCTGGTGTTACAAAGTCTCAAGTATGAATGGGAAGCAGGTGTGTTAAATTTGGTGTTATTGCTCTCACACTTCCTCATAGTTCAATATGTCACCTCATGGCAAAGAACTCTCTGAGGATCTGAAAAAATGAATTGTTGCTCTGCATAAAGACGGCCTAGGCTATAAGAAGATTACCAAGACCCTGAAACTGAGCTGCAGCACGGTGGCCAAGACCATACAGCGGTTCAACAGGACAACTCCACTCAGAACAGACATCGCCATGGTCAACTAAAGAAGCTGAGTGCACGTGCTCAGCGTCATATCCAGAGGTTGTCTTTGGGAAATAGACGTATGAGTGCTGCCGGCATTGCTGCAGAGTGGGTGGGGTCAGCCTGTCAGTGCTCAGACCGTACACCGCACACTGCATCAAATTGGTCCGCGTGTCTGTCGTCCCAGAAGGAAGCCTCTTCTAAAGATGCAGAAGAAAACCCGCAATCGGTTTGCTGAAGACAAGCAGACTAAGGACATGGATTACTGGAACCATGTCCTGTGGTCTGATGAGACCAAGATAAACTTATTTGGTTCAGATGGTGTCAAGCGTGTGTGGCGGCAACCAGGGGAGGAGTCAAGCATGGTGGTGGGAGTGTCATGATCTGGGGCTGCATGGGTGCTGGCCGAAGCTGAAATTCATTGAAGGAACCATGAATGCCAACATGTACTGTGACATACTGAAGCAGAGCATGATCCCCTCCTTCAGAGACTGGGCTGCAGGGCAGTATTCCAACATGAGAATGACAATGCTAAGCATGTCTCCAGACCTAAACCCTATTGAGCATCTGTGGGGCATCCTCAAACGGAAGGTGGGCTAGTTTGTACATTTTCACTTAGGGGTATACTTACTTTTGTTGCCTGCGGTTTAGAATTTAATGACTGTGTGATGTGTTATTTTGAGCAGCAAATTTACACTGTTGTATAAACTGTACACTCACTTCTTTACATTGTAGCAAAGTGTCATTTCTTCAGTGTCACATGAAAGGATATAATCAAATATTTCGTCCTCCACATATTATTTTGTTTACTTGTCTGTACAAGCATTCATAATACACATAATGTGTGTATGATTATATTATTAATGACATGTACGGCTGAGCTAGCAGCAGTGGTGATTGAGTTCTTTCAAAGTTGTTTTTCATAAAATTATTTCAGCTTTCCGATGTTTTATCATGTGGTCAACCAAAAAAAACTTTACTATTCTATTTAATATTCCTAAATTCCAGTTCATTTAAAAGATGTTTTCTTGGAAGAAAAGTTCAAAACTGCTCTCATTCACTCTTCTCGCCTCTCCCTGCATCTGAGCAAGGTCAAGCACCATGTTCATTCTGGTAATGGTAAATCAAGAAAGTTACAACTACTAGACGTCCCATGATCTGACTGACGGAGAGTCTTCCCGATGTTAAGAATGGATTTCTTTGTTTGAGGGGGGTCACAAGATATAATTTTGAGAAGCAGCGGTTTCAACTCCAAATTGTGGCTTTTGGAGGCCAGACTGAGGCAACTTCTCATTTTAATGCTGATTCTTTTGTTTTGCTTTGGTTCAGAATATGATTTCAACGTATGATTTTTATCACTGAATATCAGACTAAACTCCCGTTTTTTCCTCTCCCCTCTCGGTGTCTTATTACAGGTTAACAGATCTGTCAGGCTCTCTCACAGATGGACCAGTGAACTACAAGTATAAAACCAAATGCACTTGGCTAATAGAAGGATAGTAAGTATCAGCATTTTTCAACTGCTAATATCATCATCATTTATCTTGTTAAGTTCACTTGGTTAAATATAAACATAAGGGCTCCAGATAAAGAGAGCACTGTGTAAATAGAAAGAGTTTTTCGTCTTTAAATGTTGTTATTGCACTTCAGAGTTGTTTTGTGCCCATTAACTGCTCAGAGATGCATGCTTAACCAGCTGAATGCAATGCCTGCATTAAATATTAAGTATACAATGGTATACAGCCCTAACAGAATGACAGCTGTAAAAAGAAAGCATTATTTTTTGCCACATATGGAAACTAAACACTGCCCTTTTCGGGTTACCTCTTTTAATCCCTGCATATTTGGGATGTTAGATTCGGCTTTGTTCATTGTCTCCTTGGGAATATATTGCAGGAAGGTTTGGGCTCAGTTATGTAGTAAAATATTTTTAGACACGCCAGTGGCATTTCTGTTGGGATCTGGGTTTATTTAAATATCCCAAAAAACCCCAAACCACACATTTTCCTCAAAGGGCTTTAACTATGGATGGATTGCCAAGAAATTTGATGCAGATATCCACTTCGTCCTGACAATGAAAGACTGATTATCTGACTTTGCACGACAGCGGATGAAAATGTCCTCTTGCACAATGCAGGGAAAGGCAGCAAGTGTTAAAGAACTTCATTGGCCTTTGTTTAAAATACAACCAGACCCTCATTATTTCGAGAGAATGAAGTAAATACACATATTAAAGGAATGTTTACAGCTGGTTATGATGATAACTTTTGGATTAATAGGATTGTTATTCCAAAATCAGGTGCCATATTGCTATTGCAGATGCCACTGATATTAATTTTGCCAGGAAGATGATGTGTGATGATTTGCTGATGCCTTAGTTTTTAATTTAGTGCCGCCATCGGGTTAATTGACCAAAACTGTGGTCAGAATTTCCATGAAATTTGTTTTGATATTCATATTCATAGTCCCCAGTGGGTAAATATTTAATTTTCTGCGAACCCACTGAGCTTTTCTCCAGCACCATTATCAGATCAAAATTACACTTGTACACAAGAAATCTCAAAATCAATGGTCTGATTACAATGAAATGTTCTGAGCACATTCATTTGTTCAAGGGGGTAAATCCTTGTAGCATTGTGACAGCCTTTGAACACGGTACATACCAGTATCCTGATTCTGAGTCTTATCTAGTTTTCATCATATTTGTGGTATGACATTTACACCGAACATGGATCAGCCTGGTTATTGACTTTCATTTCAATGTTTAGATCCTTATTCCATTAATTATTGTCATAATTCTTATTTTACTGACTAAGTAGCTTTAGTTGAGAACGCACATACGGCATACAGCGATCAGAAACCTGGCATTTACCTGCCACAGTACCCAGGTTTCTGTCAGAGTACTCATTTTAGCATACAGGTTTCTCTAAACAGGGAAAAGGGTGTATATCAGGATACTAATATAAATTAAACCTGATAACAACTGGGATAGAAGTGTGTATGTTAACACAAACTAACATCTAGTAACATCATTATCTAGCGACACGCTCCGCAGGCACTTCAGTATAGCAGGAAGGTTTTCTTACCGAAAATTTGTGTCCATTTGTGATCATAAGTAATAGTGGAGACACTTCAAAAGTAAGAAAAGTAAGAATTAAATGGAGCCTATATAGATAATATATATTCATGAAATGTATTTTTGTCATACCATCTCCTCTCTCTCCCTGTCTGTCAGTCCTAATGCAGTACTCAGGCTGCGCTTCAATCACTTTGCCACAGAGTGCAGCTGGGACCATATGTACGTGTATGATGGAGACTCCATTTACGCCCCTTTGATTGCTGTGTTCAGGTGAGCGCCTGCTGTTCTGAATAGGAGAGCTGTGAGATGGGGGAAATATGGAAATGACTCAGGTAGCCTTTGGCACAGCTTCAAAAGCTCCAACGAATTTGCACTTATGCAGTCAAATGACTCCATGTATAGGCAAACAATGGGCCTCCATAATTACGGTCGTACCACAATACAGCGATTATAGAAAGAAAAAATATTGCAATTACTCATGTTAGCCCTGAAAAATGCTTATTTTTCTGGAGCTTTAATGCATATTTTAAATGCCTTTTCCAAAGGACAATCTACAACCATGTGGGGGGCACTCTTATGTTTGATAACAATTCATTAAAACAGTAATACCACAATAATTTACCAACCTCCCACTTTCTACTCTGCTCCATTGAGGCTTATCTGCTGTTGAGAGTGCAGTTGCTCTGAGGATATGGAGGGGCTAATTTGGCCTATTCCAACCAAGAAAAAAATCTGTCATTTGCAAATACAAAGCCTAGACTTGTGTACCATTATTACCTAATAAATAAGCTTACATTGTTCATTATGGATTGGCACGTACTTGTGTTGAAGAAAAAAAAGCCTGTAGTTGCACCAGGGAGGACGCTTTGTCTCATTATGGGCAAGGGTACATTTACAGTGCATTGCATTTATTAAAAGCGACAGGCCGACCAAATAAGAAACCACCAACCCCCAGTGAAAAACCTCATCAAACAAATAATAAAACGAAATGTGGAATGACGCAGCTCTGCAATGTTGTTTTACTTTAAAGCTAATCACTGTCATAGTTTTAGCTGAAATGGAATCCTTTTTATCTTACAGCTCTCCTGTCGGTGCTTTCCGACCAGAGTCCATCTAATACAGCACAGCATTTCTAAATGATTTTTCTTTTTGTTGAGAGGGATTGTCTGTCTCTCTGTCTCATTCTGTTTATGTCTCTTTCTCAGTGGTCTAGCAGTACCAGAGAACAGAGGTAATGAGACGGTCCCGGAGGTAGTTACGACTTCCGGCTACGCTCTGCTTCACTTCTTCAGCGATGCTGCCTACAACCTGACGGGCTTCAACATCGCCTACTCGTACGTCTACACATCAATACTCCTTTTACTCTTTTTTTATCTGCCTTTCTGTCTCAGTGTCACGCTAATCTAAATCCACATACACTTGCAGATACATATAAGCAAGGATTGGTATCATTTAGAGAAATTTAAGACAATACCCTTCAAGACAACAACTTGATGAACTATTAGGGACTATCTAAAATGCCAGATATTTTCCTCAGACCACCAAAAAGGTTGATTGTAGTAACTGTTTGGTAACACTTTGTTAGCCATGATAAACTGTCCGCTTGCAGTGAAGGCCTTAATGTCATGTAGCTTTACCATGTACTGAATAGCTGCTAATGTGGTGTGACTACTTTCTTTCAGCAGAGTTATGCAACATTCATAGGTATCATTTACACCACATTTTGAAATGGCTGATTTTGTCCCCATCACTTGTTGAAAGGATTTGTTAAGAATGTAAAAATAGCTTTCACCAAGAAATGTTAACTAACAAATGAAAATGCTGTGAGAAAGGTTTATTTGCACTCTGAGAAAACATGCAATGTAATTTCAATATAGAGGAAACAAATTGCATTGTCCAAAAAAAGTAACTCAATCTAAAAAAACATCAGATGTATGAATTTGTCATGTGCAAGCTGAATTTTTGTTTCCCTTTATATAAAGAAAGACATTTCCACTGTATTTTCACTGTAAATTAGAATAGAAAATGTCTCCAGAATTCACAAAATGTAAGAGTTTATGCTCCACTTTACTGGGGGAGGACCCCACGACCCCCCCGCTTTTCATCATTTCATATTTCTTCAAAATACTGCAAAAAATCTTCTCGTCTTGTTCTCGTGTATCATCTCGCCCCTAATCTGACCCGTTATGTCCCCACCACTTTTCAACAAAAAGTGACGCCCTTGCCAACATTAGCTAGTTGCATCTACAGCCAGCTCTCTAATTGAGCTTTTTAACGGCGGACATTTTGGCATGTAATAGCAGGAAAAGCACAAGTGTAATTAATAACTTTGATACCGACGGCCTTCTGTTTAGGTGAGGAAGTTCTATAAGGCGTTTGTATTGTATCTGCTGGCTCACTGGCATGACTTACTGGGATACTTATGGAGCGGTGCCATTGTTAATGAAATTTGTTCCACCTGTGCCTTCCCTGCTAAGACAAGTCAAAATGTCTGTTGTGAAAAAAAAGTCCTTTGTACCAGCTGTCAAGTCTGTCTGAAGATAGACACGCAATGCCATAATGGTAAGTTAATGTTGCTTTTCCTGTAACTTCTGTTTCAAATCAGCACAGTGCAACAAAAACAGATGGAGTAATCATGTCTAAACAACAGAACAGGTAGTTTGCACTCCAGAATTAAGCTTTGCCTTATTAGTAAGTATGAGTGCGTCTGGAGGAAAATAACAAAAAGAATCTGAGCTGTCACACAAACACACTTACAGTTATTGTATACATTCATAGCTACTTAAGAGCTACAGCTAGCTAATGTTTGCACTGTCGGTACATTTGTGCCAGTAAAGAAAGGCAAAACATTAGATTCATGGTAAATGTAAGCGCAGTTAGTTAAATCTGTGTTTTTTAATGTTAATATTCATTTGTTGTTTAAAGCTGTTTGGACAGATGACCAACGATGGTTTCCTGGTGAGTGCAGTCTTGGTTGTGTGAGAACTAGTACAACAGTTGTAGGCCCGACTTTAAGGTGGTAGGGCGAGGACAGTTAGTGTACAGCCACACACCCTTAAGGCTCTCAGCTTTCACACACACACACACTGGGGAGATAAAGGTTGTCATGACGACCCTTTTGTCACGGCAGCAAACCAGCTTTTTTGTATTAACGAAAAGATGTTTTTCTGCCTCTGGTTTCTTGACTCATCCCCCCCTCCCCCCATCATTCCATCTCTTTTAGCATCTGTATTGATCTGCTGTTACAGAGAAACAGCCTGTAATCTTTGGAGTATCAGTGCTTTCTGTTCACAGTTTAGTTTTAATGTTTCATTTAATTCTCTTCAAGCTCCTAGCTCTTCATATCTAATGGCTCTCATTTTCAGTCTCCTTTGTGTATTTTTCTTTGTGTACTTCTAGCTGGATCTCTAATTTCTCTCTCTTCCTCATTACATTATGTTCAATTGGCCGATACTGTGGTCCAAAGCCACTTACAATAAGTGCGTTTAAACTCTATTGGTACAAGAGGTAGATGTTTTGAAAGTGCATCCCTCTCAAACAAATAACTGTGTTCAGTGCTACAGTACAATTGCTTTTTATGCATTTCATGTTCTGAGGTTCATATTATATCATGTGTCTAATGGGTCCATTTATTGATAGAAGGAATAATCTGTAACAGGCTGTGCAGTTATTTAAAAATAATGCATTAAGTGAAGGCTAATTTACCTTTACTGAATGCAAATTGGACAGTTTGGGAGTTTTCTGTGCAACGTTGAGTAAGTGCAACAATTAACTCTGACATAGGATATTCTTCTCTATTTTCTTCTCCAACAGCAAGTCTCTTATTTTCCCTGTCTGCCCATTTGTTGCTGGGCAGGGGGTGTGAAGTGAGTTTATTAGAGCTTTTTTACTGAAAACAGCCACCTGCTGTGTTTGGAAATGTGGTTGATGAGTGGCAGGGCTCTCAAACAAAAATTCAGCTGAAAGACACTGAGGCTACATCCACACTACTACGTTTTTGGTTTTAAAAACGGAGACCTTTTGCCACATTTCCGCTTCCTAGCCAGACTGAAACGGCAAATCCAAAGACCTAAAACAGAGAAGTCAGAAAACATTTTTAGTGTAGACAGGTGAGAATAACAGAAGTTTAATAAACGATGACGCAGACACTCACATTTGGCTTCTTGATTGGGTGTTATCAGTCCTGCAAAGCAAAAATGAATAGCTACAAGTGTTTTAGTTTTGGTATTTTTATTAAAATATTTTGAACTGCGCAAATAACAATTATACACTTTTCTGTGCATGTCACCGTATTTACTTTGCGACGACTACCAGTCTGTTCTCTGCCGCCACAGTCTCTTTGTACTCCCGTGTTACTTTCAGTAGCAGTTCCACCTGGTTGTCGGTCCATGCAAAAAAATCTTTTTTTTGTCTCTAGCATTACTTTTTTTCTTTCGCCAAATCTTCTGCAACTGCGGAGTAGACAATCTGCTTCCTGTTCACAACGGCACGCACATGCCCAGTGTACATGAACGGCAACTTGATGTGTGTTTTCAGTTGTTTTTGTATAGACAAAGGTCAATTTTGAAACATAGCTAAAACTCTTTTTTTGTTTTAAAAATCTAGCGTGTGGATGTAGACTTAAAAGCTCCACAGACCTGCAGAGTTGGTGAAACATTTCTGTTGGTTCTGCACCACAATGCCTTTTATATCACCTATAGTCATTTAATCCACTGTAAAAATTTAAAAATATATTACTGGAGCTAAATAATAAAATATAAAACTGTTTAATAGGAACTTACTGTACCGTAAATGTTTCTATAAGCGAGGAAATTCATAACACTGTAGTTGCCTGAACTAGTGACCAGCTTGTACTTCAGTATTACTTTCCTGAGGCATCCAGTGTCTCAAAGCTGTGGGGTTATATAAAGCAGTATCTGGCCAGTCACAACTATTCTCTGTGCTTGTGTTTCTGTATAACCTTGAAGAACATTCTTGACTTCCTGCCTAACTGTGTCGCCCTCAGGATAAATTCTTGTCCCAATAACTGTTCGGGCCACGGCAGATGCGGCACAGCGAACTCGGTCTCGGGTCGTGTGTACTGTGAGTGCGAGGAGTACTGGAAAGGAGAAGCCTGCAACATCCCATACTGCAGGGATAACTGTGGCAGCCCGGATCACGGCTACTGTGACCTGACCGGAGAAAAGCTCTGCGTCTGCAACGACAGCTGGCAAGGTAAAAGAGCAGGACAAATGGGACAGGAAAGAGGGCACAGAATTGTATCAGGGGAAATTAAAACAGACGATAGGCTTTTTTAGAGAGATTTCAGAAGTATGATGGTGAGCGGACAGAAAAGGGCTAGATATAGGGCTAGATGTCAGATCTGAACATATTTAATGTGTCGTTGAGCGCAGTTAGTATTATTATTAAGACTCAAAACCGGGATACATTTGGTAAAAAAAAAAAAACTTGGCCTGTATATCATCATCTGAGGACTGACTTCACATTGAAGTAAAGTCATTGAAATGCTGTTAAAACAGTACTGTGTACTAAAAATGTTCTTTTCAACCTAATTCTGTCCAGTTTTATGATGTTTTAAGACCTCTTTTAAGCTACAAATCACCAAATCAATACTTATGTGCAAGAAGTCCTTGTTTCATTGTTGCAACTTCATATAATTACTCTGCAATCTCCACAAATGAGGACAAAGCCAGTGTTATTAATTCTCAAAACCAATACATCATTTCCCATGATGTCTATAATGAAGAGGATCTTTTTGATGTTTCTGTTTTGTTCATTATTAAGGTGAAAAGGGAACAAATACAAAATAGATGAAAGGAGGAGATGCAAAAGCACGACAGCAGCCATTTCCCTGTTTATGCACAACATAACGTTGCCTGATTCAATATTATTTTAAATCATAAAACAATAGAAGTGATATCTTGGGAAATCTTGCCTAGTGGCGCATAATATAAGTGGCTTCATTATTTATTTATTTTATGTTTAATTTGTGAACTATTCCCTCTTGTGGCAGCACACAGAACAATTTAACGATACATGGGATTATAATATCAGACTGACAATAATTTTTATATTGAGGCAAGGCAATTGTACTTATGTGTCAATATTAATGTGGTAATTGTCCATGAAAAATCTATTGAAGCTGTTTTTTTTCAGTGCCAAACACACAATTGATGTTAGTATTGTATCGTTGTATTGATGAAGTTGTGTGTAATTCAATACATTTTACAACACAATGCAACACTGGATGTTTAATTGTCCTCTGTCTTGTATACCTGACAAGCTGGGTCTCCCCTCAAAACAATTCAGAACCAATGTTATCCTGCATACTACTACTACTACTACTACTACTACTACTACTACTACTACTACTAATAATAATAATAATACAATTTGGAATCTAACCCCAGTGGACATTAAAGGCCTATGCAGCTACATTAGATGGTGAAGCACTGCCCCCTCCTGGATTAATGATGTAAGCACAAGTACAAACCAGCGAAGCCACTTTTGTCTGCTGACGTCCATTTAATTCTTGAATAATGAGGCATTAAGCAATGTTTTCCCACAGAATGGATGTATGTAGCTATGTTTTTTTCAATTAACCCCCTAACCAACAATTTGAGGGTGGCTATAGAGGATTTACAGTAAGAGCAAGTAAATGTACTCGCAAAGGACATTACTTCGTATAATTAATCAGAATGCAATCAAACAACACACACACTGTGAGCCACCCCTGTTCAGCACCACCAGATGATTAAAGTCATTTCACTTGAATATTCATCAAACTGCTCCAGGATGATTTCTGAACTATAATGGTTTATCATCTTCGACCCTTTTGGAAATTGATTTTAGAGAATGCTTGCCGGCTGGTCATTGAGTTTACAGTTTGTCATTAATGTATGGCATGTATTTTCCCAGCACAAACTAAGCCATAAATGACATTTTGTCTTTCTTGTTAAGTCTGCAGAAGCATTTAAAAGTTTGCATGCAGCAAACTCACATTTAGCAGTTGTGTTTCTTTTCAGAAAATAATCAAATTTCAACCTTTTTGTTTTATTTGTGTGATGACTGCATGCAACAACCTGCTTTTCACAAAGAAACTGAAAGATAATAACACTTTTCCTACCGGGTGTAAAGATTTAAATGGCATTTAAAAGGTCTGAATCTGCCCTCTGTGACAGGATTTGACCACTTCTTTCTAAATGTCACGAGTGAGGAGTCATTTATAAAATAAGGTGAAAATCAAGTGAGACAAAGATGTGTGGATGTGGTGGTGGTGGGAGGGGCACCACAAAGCCCCAGAGCATCCATCTGACAAATAAACCGTGGGGGTAATAAAGGTGCTGGTCGCCATAGCAACTGCCATTTCACAGCAAAAAATATGTTTTTGTGTTAATGAAAAGAGCATGTCCGCCATTTGTCCTTCGCTTCTCCCCTTCTATCAATCCGCTCTCCTCATCCCACACAAAGCCACACAAAGAAAAGCGTGTTTCAATTAGTGTTTTTCATTTGTTTCTTCTCCTGCTGTCTCATTTGTCACCTGCTGAAGCATTAATCAAACCCACCTGCCCTGTTAGAATACCCCAGATGATTTTAGCCTCTTTGACCCCCTCCCATATCTGAGGAACGGAGAGCTTAACCGACTACGATAAAATGGAGGATATAGCTGCTGTTGTCTGATCAGCTCTTAAATCAGTTCGTCGTGTCTTTCTGTGTTTTTACTTGAAGGATCATCTGATCTTATCTAAAGGTTTAGGTAAAGGTTATCAGGAGTATATCAGGAGCACCAGTTGTTGTTGTTTTTTTTTGTTTTTTACTTCACTAACACATTTTGTTTTTATAATCAGTAAAAGTTTGCTGCTGTTTCCTCATTAAAACAAAACATATATTGTTTGTGATGTAATGCTTTTGTTGGCACTCTCTCTTCTTACTGATAATGACATTATTACCTCAGATAACAGTAGTGCAGTAAACTAAACTGTATCCTAAAAAGCTCCTACCATGATACACTACTGAAAAATTAGTGATAGTTCATACAGTCTCTGTGTTCTCAGTTCTCTATGTACACAAAAGCCCTATTTCTCTAAAATATTGTTCACAAATCTGTCAAAATCTGTGTTAGTGAGCACTTCATCCACCTCACAGGTGTGGCATATCAAGATGCTGATCAGACAGCATGGGGATTGCACAGGTGTGCTTAGGCTGGTCACAATAAAAGGCCTTAGGCTGGTCACAATAAAAGGCCTTAGGCTGGTCACAATAAAAGGCCACTCAAAGGTGGTTTCAACAAACTCTGAGTTTCTCTACTCCTGCGGAGCCTGAAGCAGCTGTCTTACTGTCTTACTGACAGTCATACTGTCATATATACATATATACAGTCTATGATTTTAACGCAATTACGTCTTAGATAGGCTGTTAGTTTTTTACCCAAACATGATCTTGAACATGACCACTTTATGATCAATCTGGCATCGATGTATGGACAGAGTTGGACATTGTGGATTCATCCTCAAGACAGAATAAATCTATATGTCTATATGTCGAGTGTAGTCTATATCTATAGACTACACTGTCCTTCTTTATGACACTGTGACCCTGTGGACAGTTGCACAACAAAATACCATGAGCTACATTACTGCAGTGATCACAGTTTAAACTAATCTGTATAGAACTGATCAATGAACAGTAATCTTTCAGGTAGTCACACTGATTGGAACATTACTATCGTAGTAATCATACTGGAAATAATGTGACTATTTGTGAGTGCAGCTGAAACAAACAGGCCGAAATGTGGTTAAGTGAGGTGTTTTGACATGAGCAAGATTTTATTAATGTACAATAGACTAAAACTTTACAGTCACTTTGAACCCATAGACACATTTTCCACTGCAAAAAAATAATTAATACACTAATCTACTGAGTCGGTCTGTGACTTCACAATCACAGGTCCATGAGTAGCCTAGAGTAGTCGGATCTATTTAATTAATATTTAATTAAATAGACAGTACAATAGTAGAGTAGAATTCCAGCACTTTATCGTTCATTAAGAAAAATCCCAGTCTGGTAAATGATGAATGAGCAACGCTGTATGAAATGTAATAATGTTAACGTATTGATCCTTCCTCCACTCCTGCGTTGTAACATAAATAGCCTATCATGGCAGACATTCATATTTCCAGCTCCACCAGATTAAAACGGAGGCTCTGCCTTTATTTACCCGTTGCCATGGTGAATCGTAGTATCTGAGCTCCATTGCTGATGGCTTTTTTTTTTCCATCCCCACGCACACGTTGCCATCAGGTTCAACGTACTCTGAGCTGACTGAACTTATTCTGATCAGCTGTTCTCACCTCAGGCTTAATCAACTCAGAGCTCAGGGATAAGCTCAGAGTTTGTTAAACCTGCTTTCTGAACCAGGTTGCTGATTGTGCTGCAGTGAAAGTACTGATTACAGCAGAGTATGTGTAAGGTAAAATACACGTTTATTCTCTCTCACTCTCTGTTTACAGATGGCTGAAAAAGTTGCACCTACTAGCAGCAAATATTTATTGATGTGCAATTGTTTACATGTTATGTTTTTGAGACTGTTTGAGACTATTTCATTAACATAATCCATTTAGGAAAAGGTATTATTGCCCACATGCAGAACAGCTTTCAGTATCGCCCTGTTTTAATTGTAGTTTATACAGGAAAGGGGTCTACTATCCAAATAATTTTCAAAATCTAAATATTGTCTCTTTTTCACTTTAATATCCCCCCCAAAACTTTTTTTCGGTCAGGCTCTACTCTTTAACTGCCACTTTAAAATATGCAAAGTTAAATAACACATTTGAAACATCACGAATCGTGCTTTTTTTAAGTCTATTGATGGCATTTTAACCATGTTTGTGGCTATTGAAGACACTATTTAAATCAAATGGGTCTCTTCTCTGTCTCTTCTCTGGATCAGGTCCAGACTGCTCTCTGTCCGTTCCCTCCACTGAGGCCTTCTGGGTGCTGCCGAGCATCAAACCGTCAGCTCAGTCTCTGGGTCGGGCGTCCCATCAGGCTCTGGTGCACTCTGGGCTGATGTGGGTGGTGGGAGGCTACTCTTTCAACTACTCCAACTACCACATGGTCCTTAAGTAAGCAGCACCAGTCTGACAAACTGATCCACGGGGCAGAAATCCCGCTCAGACCAAACACAAAATAGTTTTTTTGACAGTGATAGCTGATAGACTGTTCTCACGGCAGACTTCTGGCATGTCGCCGCAGGGAAAGCACAGGTGTGACTAATAACATTAGTAATGAGTGCATTCCATTTAAGTGAGCTAATTCCAGGGCCATGTTATTGTGCATGTTGGCTGACTAGCATGGCCTACTAGGGCACTTATTGGAACTGAACCATAGTTTAAAAAATGTGTTTCAGCTGTGCATTTCAAGTTAAAATGTCCGCTCTGAAATGGTCCATAGACCCTTTCTTACAGCAGGCTGCATTCCATTAAGCTCCAGGTCCAGAGCTATGGTATTGTGCATGCTGGCTGACTAGACTTGAGCACCTAAATGGAATGGAGCCATCATGAATGTTATTCTTTCCAGCTGGCCTTTTAATCAGTTTTACATAGTTAATTCCACCCCTGCAGTCTCTGTATTACTGCACTGTAGCACCACTTATAGGGACTAAACCTTGTCAGCAGATATGAGCTTTTTTGACCATCAAGTCACTTCTGCTCTGTTTTTCTTTGATATCTTTCTGTCTACAGCTACAACCTAGAGAGCAGCACGTGGGATGTGGTGCCTGTTGGCAGCGGTCCTCTCTACAGATATGGTCACTCATTGGCTCTGTACCAGGTAATACAGATGTGGCTGCTACATTTCACTGACACTAAAGAGTTGTCTGAGGCAGTGAAATCCAAAAGATATGGTGCTTTGTTTTTAATCTATAATCTTTAATCTGATTTGCACTTTTCCCTTCCATACAACACAACTCAAGACAATTAAGCTGCAAATGTCAGTATTTATTTTAGATTTTTACAAAAGTTTAGTGCTGAGCTGAACTTTAAGGCTTTGGTCTGTTGTCTTTCTCAGTATCTGTGTGTGAAACAGTGGACAGTACACAGTCTGCACAACACCTGTAGCCAATTCAACGAACCAACATCTGTCCCCAGACTTTGTGTCTTTATGTACTGATCTTGGAAAGGACTTCAGTCTTCCTGTCAAGTTTTCATTAGTTACTTAACTAGACAAAAAATCCCTGTAGCTTTTTTTTGTCTACCACCATCAGGGTGTGTCTGTGTGTTGTAGTTAATGTTAGTAGTCCAGATGCAACAGGAGATGTGTGAACTCCCCTAAATTCTGACAGCTTTACTTTACTGAAAATAAAATTATGTCCTAACAATAAACTATCTTTTTAATCTTAGCGTATGTTTTGGGACGCTGCTCTTCATTACAGAGCAGAACTGGATGTCACTGAGAGCTGCAGATACAGAGAGATTTATATTATATTTATCTGTGCTCAGTTTTAACCATCACTTTAAGCTCACTGTTTAGTTTTACTGTTTTTCTGTTGTTAAAAATTGACTGATCTTTTGACTAAAGACTAATTCTAGTTAAAGCTTCTCAAATGTAAGAGTTTTCTGGTGCTTTGAAATTTGACTGTCAGAAAACAAAAAGCTATTTTATGACATAACAGTCTGCTTGATATCATGTGATGTTGTGGGCCTCCACCATTATTTTTGACATGTCATACACTGATTAATAATTTCTTTAAAAATTGCCACAATTACTCAATAAGGAAAATAGTCATTACCTCTTTGAAGCATTTTATACAGGGAATCATTTCACAAGACTGAAAAGAAAGTGTTAACTTTGTGAAAGACCGGCCCATTATTCACTTTACCTGTGAAGAAATGAGAACATTAGAATCATCCATGTGTCCCGTAAAGATCACTCACTTCACAGTTTGGAGCATCAAATGATGTGTCACTGTCCAAATACTGGGACACATGCTTACTTTGTGCGGAAGAAGTAATTTAATAGTGAAGGAGGGAGGGAAATAAAGACAAATGTCTCTGTTCTGCTATGATGAAGGTGAGATTTGATCCGGAGTAGGTCAGTGTGCCCGCCTCGAGCCTGGAGAAGATTTGTAGGCAGCAATAACTCTTGGCATGTTTACTGTACACACAAGTTTTAACTTCAATGCCTCCCCGTAACACTGAGGAGGGATGAAGGGAATTACTTCACTTCATTGATGTAGTTTGTGGCCTTCTCATGAACCTCTTAGATTTGAGCACAGAGCAGACATGCGTGTTTTATTTTGATCTTAGGGAATGACAGAGACGTCTAACCAGACCTGCTGACTCTTCACCTTTACACTGATATTTTAGGTGACTCCTTGAACAGGGCTGCACTGATGTGGAGTAAAGTGCAGATTACAGCCTGTTAGTTTATTGTTAAAGACTTACAGCTGCTATAATCAATATTTTTGTATTTACGATGAATGAAATTACTGAATGCACCATGTCAAAGGTGAGGAGTGTAAATGATTGAGCTGAAAAGGTGCTGTTACGTGGAGAGCCAGGTTAGCAGTTTCCCTAAGCTAAGCTAACCAGCGGCTAGGGCTAATTAATCGACTAATCGAAAAAATAACCGTTAGATTAAACGACCAGACATTTTGCCTCAGAAGCCAAATGCAAGCTCAGACAAAACCCTTTCCTCTTATATCTGTATCAAATGTCTCCATGATGAAACTGAAACATTACATTAAAAAGCATCACACACTTCTCTCTCTATCTCTTCCCTCATGTAGGATGACATCTACATGTTTGGTGGGAAGCTGGAGGCGCAGTCGGCCAACGTGACGGACGAAATGTGGGTGTTCAACATCCCTAGACGCACCTGGTCTCCACGGACACCAGCCCCGCCTCCTCCGTACGCTCTGGAGGGGCACACCGCCCATGTGGTGGAGCAGGCCGACGGCGAGCCAGTGATGCTGATCTTCTTTGGCTACTCGCCAATCTACAGCTACATCAACAAAGTTCAGGAGTACAACATCAGTAAGTACACCTGCTGACTCTGCTGTCATCGATTTTCTTTCTTTGGTGATTGTTTCATTGCTCTTTATTGATGATAGTCAATCACAGGAACTCTTCAAGCTGTTGACATTTTCCAAAGGCCACGTTGGATTTTAATACACACTTGTCGAGTCCTAATTTATATTTTTTAAATGATTTCCAAGTAAATATGTATTCATAACTTTGGCATTTCTAGTCATCGTTACTGCTCTGGTTGGGATGTTGCTTCATCAAAGTCATTGTTCCTCAGCGAGTTTGCAAAGTTATACATTTAATATAACCACTTTGGCTGCTGAAAGAGATATTCACAAATGCAAATGCATATGTTAAGCACACAAGAGAGTACAATAAAAACACTACACAAGCTCCAGTCATGTGATAAACAGTCCTACACACTGCCATCTTTCTTCATTTGTTGGCCTCAAGAATTGCATCTAATCAACCCATCTCACAAACGGAGCTCGCACAGCACCTGGTGTTTTAGCTTCAGCTTCCTCCTTTTCATTTCATGCATCAAGTGAATCTCAGATTTACACCTCAAACAGTTCTTTCCAAAACGTTTATATTAAACAAAATCTTATTGTTTGTGAGCTGTACTTTGTGGATTTTATCTATTTCAAAGTTTAAAAGACTGCAGAGGCCACTGTTAAGGTACCAAAATCAACTTTTCTGAGAAGAAGTAGCTGTTTTGTGGGGAAGGAAGTGAACTTTCAAGCATTGCAAGCATTTTTATTTTTATTGAAAACTGAATCAAATTACATAAAAATGGACATCTTTACAATTAAGATTTTTAACAGAAAACAGAAAATAAGACAAAGATAAAGAAAAAGGGACATAATCAACCTGCCCACCCAGCCACCCGGATTCCCCTCCACCCTGGCTTACTTAAAATCATATACATAGACCAAAATATAAAAGTCTTAGTCTGGTAAGACCTGCAAATCTGCAAAATATGATAGAAAAGGCCAAATGTGAGAACTTGTCTGGGTTTCCTCTCATTGTGTTTTAATTTTCTCAAGTTTTAAGAAAAACATAACATCAGTAAGCAACTGTGAAACTGATGGAGGGCTTGGAGATTTCCACTGTAAGAGAATTTGACATCTGGCTAGTAAAGATGTGAAATTGAGAATTTCTTTATGCGCCAAATTAATGGACCTGATTTTTCTGGGGTCCCATAAAATAGCAATTAAGGGGCACGAAGGTGAAGGTGTATTCCTATTGTAAATGAAATGATGTTGAAGTAACCAGACCAAAAGTTGTATAATTGTGGACAAAAGTAAAACATGTGGCTCAAGTGACAATGTGATTTTGCTAGTTTTTAATTGACTTAGTCTAGTTTGATAATTATCATTAGATTTTTGTGCACATGCCACAATTTGCATGTCCAAGTATTTTCCGTAATTATCTTGCAACTTGGTCCCAGAGAGGAATGCGCAACTTTACACTTATATGTGGATGAGTGGCAGTTAAATTTGAACTTAAACTAAAAAAGTAAGATTAACTCATCCTTTGTTTTTATAAGTTTAACTTTAGTATGTTCTCTGTTCACAAAAGTCTTGGTCTGGAAATCTTAATGCTACAGCATACAATGATATTTTAGTCAACAGTGTGCTGCCAACTTTGTGGCAAATATTGGGACACATGCTTACTTTGTGCGGAAGAAATAATTTAATAGTGAAGGAGGGAGGGAGAATAAAGACAAATGTCTCTGTTCTGCTATGATGAAGGTGAGATTTGATCCGGAGTAGGTCAGTGTGCCCGCCTCAAGCCTGGAGAAGATTTGTAGGCAGCAGTAACTCTTGGCTTGTTTCCTGCACACAAGTTTTAACTTCAATGCCTCCCCGTAACACTGAGGAGGGATGAAGGGAATTACTTCACTTCATTGATGTAGTTCGATTTGAGCACAGAGCAGACATGCATGTTTTATTTTGATCTTAGGGAGTGACAGAGACGTCTAACCAGACCTGCTGACTTTACACTTACATGTGGATGAGTGGCAGTTAAATTTGAACTTAAACTAAAAAAGTAAGATTAACTCATCCTTTCTTCTTAGAAGTTAAACTTTAGTATGTTCTCTGTTCACAAAGTCTTAGTCTGGAAATCTTAATGCAACAGCATACAATGATATTTTAACAACAGTGTGCTGCCAACTTTATGGCAAAATCTTTTGGAAGGTTCTTTCTTATTTCAACATGACCCCGTGCACAAAGCCAGGTCCATAATATGGTGTTCCCAGTTTGCTGTGGAAGAACTTGACTGGCCTGCAGACAGACCTGACCTCAATTCCATCCAACACTTTTGGGATGAACTGGAATGCTGACTGCGAGCCCGACCTTGTTTGTATGTTTTTATGTGTGAATCCTGGAAAATCCCTGCAGCCAGGTTTCAAAATCTGGTAGAAACCCTCCAGAGTGGAGGCTGTTATTGCTGCAGATTAATGCTCCTGGCTTTGGAATAACATGATTGGTGTACTATCTGACTGTCCTCCTACTTCTGGCCATTTAATTTTCTTTTACATGTATTTTGTGTTTCCCTGTTTAGCCAGTAGATGGCAGCGTCACACAGCTTTGGAAGCCAGCTGCTGAAATTAGAGTTGGATCTTTGACACATTCTGGAGAGGGAAACACACACACACCTTTCATTAGACACACAACACAAACTCAAAGGCAAACATGTGTGCAGCTACACAAGCTCACACACCAACGCACGCACAGAGCGATCATTAAAAAGAGGTGGCATCCAGGCCAGAGTGTCTGGGAGAAGACAATGATTAATGAATCCCCACTGCATTCCCTCACTTTTCTTCCTTCCTGTCATTCTGTTTTTGCTAATTTTCTCATCCCTCCTTCTCTCTCTTTGTTGAGACTCTCTCATCCCCTTCTTTGCCTCCCTTCGTCTGCCAGGCCTCAGTTTCTGACCCCGTCTGTCATCGTTCCGACTCGGTCGCCGTTACCTCCTGCTCCTCTCCCTCACCTTTCCCTTCCTTCTGTCCTCTCATCTGTCTATCACTTTCATCTTCACCCGACTCTACCTCTTCCCTCCCACCTCTCTCTCTGACAATGTCTCAGTAAGTCTGCACTGTGGATCATTAGGCTTCAGAGGGAGCCACTAAGAGTCAGTACAACCTGGAAATGAACAGAGGGAAGCAGAAGCGGAGTGTAAAAGATGAGGTAAAAGGATTTAATGACCCCCCAGAGAGGCAGATTCACAGCAATTAGCTGCCAGAGATGAGATAAGAGTTGACCTTCTACTTTCTTGTCGTCTCTTCACAGTCCCACTTTCTATCGCTGTTTCTCTTGTTCTTGCTCTTTTTTTTTTTCAGTTCTCTCCGGGCCTTTGTTCAGCTGTCTGTTGATTACTTTTTTTTTCTCCATTCAGTGCTATTAAATGAAGCTTTCCTAGCATGTGTTCATCAAAAATATGTCGCCAAAGCATTAGAGCCAGACCATTATGTGATTTTGAGGCTGATACCGAAGATTTGATTTGATTTTTGATATATGAGAAGTTTTTTTATTAACAAAACAAAAACGTCCCAAAAAATCCAATAAGGATCTGTTAACTCTCTTTTTTCTCCCTCTGTCTTTTCCTGCTGTCCTTGTTTTTCTTTTCTATATATTATCCAGTCTTCACCAGATCTGGTACATAAAATATTTGGATACGCTTGCAAAAAAAAAAATTGTTTATTTGTTTGATACATCCTGAGAGTTTCCAAAACTTACTGGCAAATGCAATGAAGTGTGGCTTTCCTAATGTAGCGTTTTAGTGACATGGCCAGGTATCAATTCTGAGCAATCCTACTTATTTTAAAAGGAAATTGGTGCAGTACAGCAACTTTTAAATTGCTAGTAATCTTGAGTCTGACTAAAGTATTCACAATTCTTTCTTGTACAAAAGCCTATGACTATTAAAAATATTATATATACTTACAGGTAAATTATAGCCATCATCAGCAAATAGGTACATTCAAATCAAGATTTCTAACGTAGATTACATTTGAAGTACAAAAGACAAATTTGGCGTTGTAAGGAGTTGTAAGGAGATATTCTCTCTCTCTCTCTCTCTCTCTGTGTGCTTTCTAGTTATTTATTTCCTTTTTCTCAGTTTTTCTCTCTCTGCTCTCAGTACTACTCAGGGTCTCAAGGGTTTACCGTTCCAGATGACGGCACGTTCCCTCAGGCTTTTTGAAGTTCCTCCTCCTTCCAAGGCTTTGTTTCTTGTGTTGTCTTTTCTATTCCGGTGGCTGCTCGGATGATGTAATCCCAGCATGTTTTTAATAAGATTTTCTATGCACCTGAGTTAATCGGTACGCATCACACTGGTCTAATAAAGGGGCGCTTTTAGATTCAATAAACTTTAATTTCCTCTGGCCTCTCTTACTGTTTGGCTCACTCTCTCCGTCTCCCGTCTTTTCTCTTCCCTCGCTCTGTCTCACCAGAATTAAAAGTGCTTTGCTTTTTGGCATGAAAGTGAAAAGCAAAACTTGCCAAAGCATCATAAACTTTTTAAACGTTCAGCTTTTATCTTTCTGCATTAATGAGACCCCCTCCCCTCTCCTCTCTCTGTGTCTCAGGGTCTAACTCGTGGCAGGTTGTGTCTGCCGGAGGTGCGGTGGTCCAGGGAGGTTATGGCCACAGCAGCGTGTACGATGAGGCCAGCGGCTGTGTGTTTGTCCACGGGGGCTACAAGGCACTTAGCAACAACAAATACGGCCTGGTGGACCACATGTACCGATACGATGTCCAAGCGAAAACATGGTGAGAGCACAGAACAATGTTACCTATGAATATATATCTGGATTCTGAGGAAACATGTTGGTGTTGAATAGATAGTGATGTCCTGCAGCAGCACTGAAACCTGCCAAAATTAAAATTGCATTGACATCCAGAGTGACTATATCGCCCGCCGGCATCATTGTGTAAAAATCCAGTCATCCATTCTCTGAACTGCTTATCTTGTCCAGGGTGGCTGAGAGAGCTGGAGCCAATCCCATCATGCAGGCCAGGTGCATGCAGGGCCATGTTACCAGTCTTTCACAGGGCTGACACATATAGTCTAGGAGCAATTTAAAGTTATTGTGTGAAACTGTGACTGGAATATTTTCCTGGTATCAATTTCCAAAGCAGTTTTAATATAAATCCAAAAATACTGGATCAATATTACACTGGACTGTGAACATGTTTAACTCATTTTAGTTGATGTCATGTTCAGCTGTTGCTTGCTGGGTTTGTTTGTGAGAGAGGGAAGAGTGTTTATGTGTGTTTGTACGTTTACGCAGCGTTGCATCGAAGTAAAGTTCTGAGGTGCAGGTGTTGCACCACATGTGCTATGAGTTATTTTACTATTCTCTTTGATAATCCAGTGGGTCATTTTGTTCTTTTCACTATGTTTATCTGACGGCTGAAGTTGTTTGTCTGTCTTCAACTTCTGTTAACTTATCTAAGACTTTCACCTTTTATTTTTTGTACCAGAGTTTAATTTATTTTTGTGATATTTATCGATTTTTATCAATTATTTATTAATTTTAAGATAAAATAATAATAATAAAACCTACTAATTTGTTAACTTACACTGAAATACATTTGTTAATGCTGGACCTATGTTTTATGTCTTTTGCTTTTTTTTTAAAAAATCTATGCAATTCAAATATACCTTTTTAATGACAATAGTGATGAAAATTACAGGTATTCTATAGTGTTATTAGATAAGATTCAACTTTATTGTCATTATGCAGAGTATAGGTAGAGAGCTAATGTAATGCAGTTAGCATTTATACAGATAAGTGCAGTTATATCTTACAATATGTACAGTGGAGTTACACTTAATCATAATTTATTTAATACAGATATTATACAGTATCTGTGTATTTTAAAAGTGTGTGTACAGAGTTAGAGAATGGATATAGTGTGCATATTTTAAGGTTATATAAACATTATAAATAGCATTTATGGATCTGGTAAGTATGCAGAGTATCATAATGTATACACAGTTGGTTATTTGTACAGTAACATTAAACAGTGGTGTGTGTGCAAAATGTAATGCAACTTTACAAAGATAATTATTAACACATTATACAGGGAACCTGTTGCAGAACAAGAACATGTAGCAGTTCTACTATTGTGTGAATTCTACATTCACAAAATATGAATGTAGAATTCATTAAGGGAACTTTTGTGGCAGCTTTCAGAGAAGGAAAATTAGCTTCTTGAGTCACACAGAAAAAAAGAGAATAGAGGGATCTGGCAGCTGGTCTGACCTCAGACGACCCCAGGCAGATGGATGGGTGAAGGAGGACGCTCGGCCATATCAATGTCTTCTCTTCACATGTGCACTCTCACACACACATGCTCTCACATGTACACACACAGACACACGCAACCTGCTGTCTCTCCATGGCTCTCACTTTCCAGATGGAATTTGTTGTCGGAGTCAGGTGTCACTTGAGCTGGTGGACTTTGGAAATTCCCAGACTGCAACATTTCTGGGTATTCCAGCTATTCTGTACAGCTACAGCCCAATGTAAAGATCCCCTCTTCTCTGTCAGCAGAAAATTATTTTACACTGTATAACATGTTAATAAGCGCAGGAAATAAAAGAACGGGCAATACAACAAAATGATAAAAGAAGAAACGTTTTCTAAATCATATTTGATAAGGTGTCTTCCTCTCCTCCTTTTTGCCATTTGTTCAAACACAACACTTCCTTCAGGTTTACCCATTGTGTTGATAAATTCAGAATAACGTTCACTCAGTTGCCAGTTTATCCGGTAGACCTAGCTTAAACTAATGCATGTGAATACAACAACCAACTGTAAATACTACCTCTGTGAAGGTTGTAATAATGTTTATTTGTTGGAGGAAGTAGTTTGTGGTGTTTTGCAATTGAATTGCTTTATACTGAAAATTTCAAGGACCGCAAATTTCAAGGACCGCCTTTTTTCACCTACGTAATATTGCAAAAATCAGGAACATCCTGTCTAAAAATGATGCAGAAAAACTAGTCCATGCATTTTGTTACTTCTAGGGTGGATTACTAAAATTCCTTATTATCAGGCTGCTCGAAAAAGTCCATTAAGACTCTTCAGCTGATCCAGAATGCTGCAGCACGTGTTCTGACAGGAACCAGGAAAACAGATCATATTTCTCTTGTTTTAGCTTCTCTGCATTGGCGTCCAGTAAAATCCAGAATAGAATTTAAAATCATTATTCTTGCCTACAAAGCTCTTAATGGTCAGGCACCATCTTATCTTAAAGAGCTCATAGTACCTTACTACCCCACCAGAGCACTGCGCTCCCAGAATGCAGGGTTACTTGTGGTTCCTAGAGTCTCCAAAAGTAGACTAGGAGCCAGAGCGTTCAGCTATCAAGCTCCTCTCCTGTGGAACAAGGTTCCAGTTTGGGTTCAGGAGGCAGACACCATCTCCACATTTAAGAGTAGGCTTAAGACTTTCCTCTTTGATAAAGCTTATAGTTTAGTCCTGAACCAGCCCTTAGTTTAGCTGTTATAGGCCTAAACTTCCGGTAGTCTTGTGCTTTCTCGTCCCTCTCCTCTCTCCTCCGGTCACTTCCTGCAGGTGTTTCTGGCTCTGGAGCTGTGGAGTCGACACCCTCTGCTACAATTGTTATTACATGTCCTATTGTTTTTATTATTGTTAGTTGATATTACCGTTACAATTATTTTCATAAAAATTACTATAAATATCTGTACCATCATTCATTCAGTCTGTAGCAACATCACCTTTACTGTTTGTACTTCTGTGTTGATATTGTGTAGGCTGATCCCTCCTACCCCTCCATCTCACAGTTTCAAAGTGCTGATGTCATAGGCCAATGCAAGAGGGACTGGACTTATTTCACTAAAAGCTGTTTTTAGTTTCTGGGCTTAAAGCTCCCAGGACAAAAATAGTTTGTACATAATAATGATCAGTCTTTTTGATAATGTTACTTAAACCCCACACTTATACAGAGTAAACTAAAGGATTATTTTATTATCTGGATCAGTTTATCCAGTGTGTCAGTTAAAGGGGCTCCTGGAAGAGCTGTCAAGCATCAAAGTCTGTGGAAAGTCAGAGTTGCTGCAGTAATTGAAGAAGCCACAGATAGCCACCACAGTTGGTCTCGAATGTGCGATCTTTGACCTCAGAGAGGTCAGACTGGGACCTCCTACGATGTCTGTGTTGAATGTTTCTGTATGTTTGCATGGTGTGTGTGCTGCTCCCATGAAAGAACAGTTGGTTTGAAGGGCAGCCACCACAGGCCAGGTCACACAACAAGACAGGCGCCATCAATTACATGGCACCATGGACACACATGACAAATAAACACCTTCTTAATATATCCGTGTGTGTGTGTGTACATGCAGGGTGATCCTCAGGGAGAGTGGTTTGGCTCGGTACCTACACTCCGCAGTGCTGCTGAGCGGCACAGTGCTGGTTTTTGGGGGAAACACTCACAATGACACGTCGCTAAGCAATGGAGCCAAGTGCTTTTCTGCTGACTTCATGGCGTACGATATAGGTAAGAACAAGTCTTAAATAATCACCCACATACACACCTTCTGGTACTATATTTTGCAGCAGATGCAACAAATATATATATATATCTGATCATATTGTCTATCTCAGGGCTGCAAACATTTCACTTAGTTTACCCTGCCGGCAAGTGCATAGCCAGGGTGGTATCAATGCAAGCTGGTTTCAAAGGGCCTGTCTCCCTACATTAGTTTTGATTCATTACTCGTTCTAAAAAATCTGCTGTCTTTTTTGCATTTTTACCTATTTCCAGATTTGAAGCAGCCAGTTCTTCTTTCATTGCAGGCTTTATTATAAACAAGTGATGAGAGCCACATGCCTCCTTTGATACACTTCCTTATAGTCAACCATGAGGAGGCTTGTTGACTGGGAATGAGTCGTGCTTCACACGATCCCACAAGATCTACTCTTTCTCCGGGTGTCCCAGCTCATCATATGAGTCCAATCCACCTAGTTGGCCCCCATTGTTGTTGACATCTCAATCAAATTTCTCAATGAATAAAGTTTTCAAAGCTTGGAGTAGAGTGAAATCCTAAGACCCGACTTCCTCACAGATAAATCACATTATATTTAATACATGATTCGGTCTTGGTTTCTATATTCCCAATTATTGCATTATCCAATATACATGTACCATATTTACCACACTACATTACTACAGATTTTCTGGTGTGAATCGTAATTGTGCTGCAGCAGAATTTGATGAAATGCCCATAATGGTGCATACTGTATGAAGAGAGGGAAAGAGGATGAGACAGTAATAGACAACAAATAATAATCTTAAAACAGAAGAGTCTGTGAGGGAGAAAACAGGAGTATGTTAGGATACAGAGACTCCGGTACATGTAGAGAGAATGGGAAGATTAAGGATCCCATTACAGTCTACGCAGTCGCACCATAGACCAGATGTCATGAGATTGTTTCCACCACTCAACAGGGATGGAAAAGAAGGGAGCTTTGGGAGAGGAAAAGAGGGATTACATCAACTCTTCACAGGAGAGAAACGGCAGGAAGCAGCGAGATTAACAGAATGAAGACAGAAGGGGGGGGGGGGGGTGAAAGATAGATGTATATGCATAGAGAAAGGTGTTTTATGGTGGAGAGTGAAAAAATTTAAAAGGATGGCTGATTTGTTTTTATGTTTTTTACGGGAGGACAAGGAGGTAGCAGAAGCATGCTGGTGGCTCAGCGGGGCAAAGCTGCTGCCATGTCCTTGTAACGGTGTGGTGAAGTTGCAAAATTAATTATATCCTCTACCTGGATGTTGAGGAGGCAGAGATGCTAATGGTTAGAAAGGGTGTGCTTTAATGCTTTATTAGTTGATTAAGTCATTCGTTGAATGACACAGAAATCATATTTTGATTTTCATTTATCATGCAGAAATGTCAAATATTCCCTGCTTTCTGCTTCTCTATGTTTTACAGCTTTTACTGTTGAATACATACATTTTAGTCTTTTAGTCACACTTCACTGTCCTGTCAGTTCCTAATAATCGAGCCGTGATCTGGGATCTGAGTTTTGCTGGATCCAAATTATAACTCCTGATTCTGGTTCTTGATGTATCTGCCACGGGTCTCTGATCTGTATTAATACCCAAGGGGATCCAAGTGGACACTCTATCCACTCTGATCATGTGGCGTGTCATAATAATCACAGGAGAAAAATGTGTTTTTGTGGTCTCTGTTGTGGTCTTTTGTGGTCTAATTATTTTAAATTCTCTTTTGGAAAGAGTCTGACTGTCCTTTATGATTGGGTCTACTTTTTGGAAATTACATTTGGGTAGGTGTCCTAAGGGTCTGTTTTGGATTGGGTCCAAGATTTTGTTCCTGTGAAGACCTCCGACTCGGACAAAGCCAGCATTATGTCACTTTAGGCTCTTGTGATGGACAGTTCCACAGTTTTCCATCATTTCTGTCAACCAAGCACCCAGATGGTTTGCACAGCCCTCTGCAGTTTGCTACTGTGCAGCTTAATGAGGGTCTTGCTCAAGGGTGCCTCAAGAGCAGTTGGTTGATGAAAGAGCAAACAGTATTTGCTTCTCCCATCAATACTTTATTTTATTATTAAAGTATGAGTAGTAGTAGTTTATAGTGTATGCACAATACACAATTAATAATACAATTGATGATCACAAGTTTGACATCTTAACTCAAGTTCCACAAACTAGCTTTTTCCTGTCATGACCAAAATACTAGCAATTTTATGTTAAGTGAACAAACTCCATCTGCTGAATTAGACTTTTAGATGTGGCTAAAAGCTACAGAAAGAAGAATCTCCACCTTGAGTTATAAGTCTTTATCAAAAAGTGAAACTTTTTTTTAACATAATCAAGATTTTGTATTTGTGTCATTATCAGATAACCCATTGTGTTTTTTAACCTGTTAGCCTGCAGCCTGGTGTACAGTATGAGGACTAACAACAGGAGACAACCAGCCAAACTACACCAATAAACAGCAGACTTAACAAAACTGAGGACAAATAAAAAGGAGAAATGGTCAAGCAAAATAAACACAGCGCAGCAATGAAAAGGGAAATAACAACTATTAATTTAAATAAATATAAATAACTTACTGTATGTATTGCATATAACCCACTGTTGATCCAAATTCATCTGCCGTACCTTCCTTTCTTTCAGATTTCTTGTCAGTCTCTCCCAGGCGTGGAATTTCATTATTTTAGGGGCAAGGTCACTTGGCCTTGAATGTTTTCAATTTTTTGAGGGCACAAACGCCAAATGCCAGAGCAGCAAGGCCATCAACAAAAACATTTTAGGACTAGATTCTGGGCCAGTGTGACTAGATTTTAAATCCACGGAAAGGATGAATTACACTTACACTTTTGTTAATGCTTTGTTACTAACGTGAAAGTTTTCTCTAGCACGTCAGACTTTCTTTTAATGTCGCACCCCATCTAGGCTGTGATTGGTCCATTCACGAAAAGTGACATTGACGAGTATATCAACTAAAGACAGCTGAGCTAGCCAGCCAGCCAAAACCCAAACGCTGCTTATCTTATCCCTATTGTCTTCTGGCTTCAGCTGCAGAACCTTGACAGTTCAACTAGTACTGTGGATCTTGAGGAGGAAGATGTGGGCTGGTGCATAATCAAAGTGGGCTGATGGCTGACGCATCTCTCCTGCTCTTGTTTTTGCACAATGGGTTTCTCAAGCTGCCCATAGAGCTTTCTTACCTCAGCTTAGTCAACCTTCTTTTCTCAGAGGTTCACTCAGTCACGGCTTTGTGGCATTGGCACGTCAGGATGAGTTTGATAAAGTCTCCTGATTGGCTGGTGTGTCAAGCAATCGTCATAAATAGCCCGGTTTTCCAGCAGTTTACACCAGGCTCTAAATCGAACCTACCACTGCGTATGTGCGCAGTGTTTCACTTGATGTTGCCCAGTAGGAATTCAGAATATCAACAAGACACTGGTGTCTAAAAACCATGCTGACAGGAAAGAGGCTGAGCGGGGGCATCAAGGCCACTGTGACCGCAGGGCATGTCATTTTTTTGAGGGCGTAAGGCCAAAGTAGGGCCATGGCTGTCATGGCCCTTCTGAAATCCCTGTCCTGCTCTCTGCTGTAAATGACACAACAAAGGGAAAATACCAGGGAGGATATTAGTGAGATAAAGCAGTGAATGTGAGGAAAGAGATGAAAAAAGAAGGGCAGTCCGAGAGTGCAGACCTTCGCCAAGGCCACTAGTCTTCTATGATATGTAAATATGCAAGCGCAATATATTTCTACAACTATTAGATGAACATTATGGTTGTGTCTAGCTGAATGTCATCATCTCAGCTGTGCAGTTATTAGTGTTGGAGGTCTTAAGATCACTTTTTGATGATCTTGGTCTCGTCTGGGACTCGACCACATTTGTACTCTGTCTTGTCTCGGTCTCGGATATTGAGGACTTGGGATTTTATTTCAAGACCAGTCAAGACCATAGCTTTGGGAATATCAGTAAATTGCTTTTGCATTATCTGATTTATTTGTTAACACCCTAACTATGATTGGGTTTAAAATGTCGCCTCAAATGCAACCAATAACCCTAATTAAAAATGTGTTGTTACCGCTAACGACCCCTCCCTGCAATGGTAAGCATGGAAAAGGAGTGTTGAATAAAGATGCTTACGTTAATTTCAGCTCATACTGTTTGAATGTGGGTGTTTTAATGGGAATGCTGATCTTTTTAGATCAATTTGTGAAGTACCTGTGATCTCATTCCACATTTTATTGTGTGTCATGTAATGTGGGAAACTGGTCTTGGTCTCGACTTGGTCTCTGCCCCTGAAAGTCTTGGTGTTGTCTTGTTCTCAATAAACTCTGGTCTTGGTCTTGACTTGGTCTCGGTTTGGGCGGTCTTGACTACAACACTAGCATTTATTATGTACTTTGTCAGAAAATCCAAAACGCCATGTGTACAGTTCCGCCAAGTTTCATGAAAATCTGGTCAGTACGTTTTTCGTAATCCTGCTCAAGTAATAAGAGAGAAGAGCACTGAGGAAGGGGAGAGGGATATAGACAGAACGGGAGTGAAATAAAGAGTAAATGAAGAAGGGATTTAGGGATAGAAAAGCAGCACTGACAATGGTGGAAGAGAATTACCTTAAGACAATAAAAGTATGCCAGGATGAAGCAGATAATAATCTTGTGAATAAAATCAAAGGTAATAAACTATAAAGCATTTGTTTACAGAGTGTAAACAACGTAGTGTTGAATGCTGTGCTTCTTTTCGCCCCATCAACACTTGCAATAAATGTGTGAATTTACATGTCCCTTAACTCCTAACAAACACACCCCTGTCTTTATAAATATCATAATTTATTCATTACAGCTCATATCTGCAAATCTGCACAACTTTATTGTCCACTAGCCTCCTCTCTTTCTCACCACGGAGACACAGGAGGGAAGGATGGTGGTGATGGTTGAAAGGGAGGGGGGGGGGGAGAACGGTGGTAGGAGAAAGGAAGATGAGGGATGTGTGGGTTAAA